TATCTTGGGCCCCTTTCCCTTCAAGTACCCAAGTCTGGGTTTATCAAAGCTTATAATGGATCATAGGTTTTCTCATTTAATACTATATGCTTTTAGCCTCGTTCAAGTGGAGCAGTGTGTGTTTTTTGGTGCTAGTCACGCCCATGCAGTTGACAGTGGGTCATCATTAATAGTTCTGGCAGATGGAATTTACATTTGTTAGGCTTAATGTCTGAAGCTATTGACAGAAATACAAATAGCTGAGAGACAAAAATTTAGTAGTCTCTTCTGCTCTATTTATACCTGTCAGCTCACTTTACAGCTGAGAAGAGTAAATGGAAGGTAGCTTATAATTTTTCCAGTGAGGAACTACCTTGAAGAGCTTCAATTGTCTTGCATATTTTCAAAATAAATTCTTTGTCCTCGCTATTGATTTGAGTTTGAGAGTGAATTGGATATCTGACAAGGCAGTGTCTAAACATTTTATTATCTGTGTTTGAATGAGATGCCACAGTTGATCTCTGAGATTAAATGTGAAGTTGAGCAATAAGTGTTAATACTGTTACTGTGTTATTTCCTGATCAAGACCCACAGCGTTCTGCACAGTCAAAATACACTGTCATCCTGTTTTGCTCTCACAAGTTGAGATACATGGTAAAATACGCCTGCTTCCTCCTGAACTTTATTCAGTCCTCCCCTTGATTTTGATTTTATTCAGTCCTCCCTCCTGTATTTTTGATGTTGTCTCAAATAACAATGAACATAAATATTTACATAAATATATATTTGTTATGATAGCAATTTATGTAAGAATATTACAACATTGAGGGAGGTAGTCAAAAGACCCTGGAATTTGAACAATTGAAATTATATTGGGATTATTTTGGTGCATATTTTGTACAGAGGTGACAGCTATGTGATGTTAAAGTGAAACCTCTCATTCTGTTCCCTGTCTTGCTCTGGCTCTAGGAGGAAGTGGAGACTGTTGTTTCTATGCTCATCGAACAGGCTCGAGCCCTTTCTCGCACTGGAATGAAAAAGCACCTCCGTGTTCTCCCCATGTATGCTGGCCTGCCTTCTCCTGACCAAATGAAGGTGTTTGAGAGAGTTTCTCACAGTGTCAGGAAGGTAAGACTGCCGTGTCTGTCTCAGTTTCTACCACGCAGAAGGGTGTCTGCGTTTCACAGGTTGCATAGATCGTGCTCACATCATGAGACTATTGCAAACAGTTACTGAGGGAGGCTTTCTGCATCTCTTAACAGTGCCTGTCAGTTTTCAAACTGTGAACCAAGAACATGTTCTCTGGCTTCCTGATTCATTTCTCATCAGTCCTAAACATATAATTTCTAACTCTCTTGTATTCCTCATCAGCTGCTCAATTTCCAAGAGTCTTTGTACAACTCTGTATTTGTCTGTGTCCACTTACAGCTTCTTACACTCCTCTACTTTTACCCATTTTTATTTCTTTGTGGTCTAAGTGTCTATTGCTGTTTTCCATCAGTAATGGAAAAAATAGTGACAGAGTGGGTAAGTGCTATATTTTCACCTAAGAAACAATTAAAAACTTGCTTGGTTTTAGTAGAAAAATATTTGTTTTGACTTCTGCAAGTCTTGTATGAATATTTAATGTCACAGAACTATATAATTGGTCATGATTAGTGCTTTCTGCTTAGGCAGAGCCTGAGTTGGGGCTGAGATAAGCTGACAGACTTACACACAGGTGAGTTCTTATACTTCTTGTGCCTGCTGGAGTCTAACGAGTAAAATTTATTATCTGGTGTTAGAGATCGTTGAGTGTAAATACTTATTTTCTCTCCAGGATATGACATTAGTCAATTAACTTCCAAGATTTACTTTTTTAATTTCAGGTGAAATAAGGATTAAATTTCCCTCTGTTGTCTGAGAACAATTATTTTTTAATATTTTAGGACATGTATATAAGCATATCTCTGCTGGAATACTGAACATGGAACACTTAATCAGCTCTGGTCCTCTCCTATTCCCTGCCCCACTGCAGTGTTCCAAGTAACAATTTAATATAACTGAGAAACAGAAAGAAAGTATTTTTAGTTTGCTACAGAAGGACATTTGATTTATAGTCAGTTAATGGTTTTCTCTGCAAACACTGCCAATGGGAGGTGCACACGCTGCCAAATTCTTCTTTTATAAGAAAGAATAAATTTGAATAAGAAAGTGATTGTGAAGCTGTAAAAACTGGGCTTATTTCAAGCTGACAGCTCTTTCTGCTGCACGTACTGTATCCTTTTGTACTCTAGAGTGTTTACTGGAACTGTTGTATCTGAGATCTTTTAAGTGGCTTGTATTTGAGTCCTGATGCACTGATGTTAGGGCTTGATAGTGTAATTGAGATTGAGGAGTTCACAGTATCCTCATTGTGTCTGTATCTGTAGGTGATAGTAGCCACCAACATTGCAGAGACATCCGTCACAATTCACGGAATTGCATTTGTAATTGATTGTGGTTTTGTGAAGCTTCGGGCCTATAACCCCAAAACAGCCATCGAATGCCTTGTGGTGGTGCCAGTGTCTAAAGCTTCAGCTAATCAGAGAGCAGGACGTGCGGGTCGGAACCGCTCCGGAAAATGCTACAGACTTTATACAGGTCAGTAATTAAAAAGGTGAACTTGCTGCTGTGACTTCCTTTTTGTTTCACAGTAGTTTTAGTGTTCAATTAAAGGGGAAAAAAAAACCTTTGTTTTTTTCTTTCGGTAAGAAATAGAAATTTCCTGTCTTTATTCCTTCAGCTTATTTAGAAATATATTGTTTGTGTGTACTAAGCGTTGGAAACTGAATCCTTTTTTGAATCAGAAACACAAATTGAGCAGGGTAGGTACTGTGAGGCTGCCAGCAATTGCAAACCTGTAATGTTAATGCAACTCTCAGAGTGGCGAGTCTACTAAGTTTATTTTTTAATGATTTTGGTTTCTGAGCAGTTGCTTCAGTTTAATCACAGAAGAGAGCATCGTAGGTGGGTATTCTAAAGTCTCCTTTAGGCTGTGAGTCTAACAATGGACACTGGAAATACTTCAGAAAACTGAAGGGAAAACTTCTTTATGGGGCCCCTTTTCATGAGAATAGGTGCCAACCCCAAATAAGTCTCATAAATCGGTGATCCTGGCACTGTACAAAAATTACTGTTACAAATAAATCTGTTGGCCACCTATCAGAGTTCAGAAAGTCACAATCTCACTGTCTCAGTTATCAGCTGTTTAATGAGAAAAGGCTTTGCAGTTCAGCACTGCTACAGCTTACGTGCCTCAGGTTCCCTCTAGTTTTGCTGGAGCTTTGAAACTTAGAGAGATGAAAAATATCTTTTAAAAATGTGTGTGTGCTTGCCAGCAGTTGCCACATTAAACAAAGACATGATTTATTCTCTGAAGTTTTGTGTCCAGTGAAGAATCAAGAGTGAATGTCTGCTGCATAATGCACCAAGCTTACATAAAAATAAGTATTTTACTGGAGAAACAGTGACTGCACTGAAGTTTTTTTTGTGTGCTCAAAACTGGCCTAATGGGTGCTTTAAGAAACATTTTAAAGAGCACTGAATGGATGAAAGTAGAGAAAATGTATGCTGTCTTAGTGAAGGTCTGTGTTAGAACAGATAAAGAGGAGGGTTCATTCTAAAAATTAAAATAATTTGAGTAAAAATAATATATTTCTTGTCTTGATTTGGGGTCTTAGTTCAACACAGGGATGTGTGTGTGTCTTTACTGCCGAAGAGTTGGTTAATGGAATGTACAGGAATTTTGACCTATAAAGTATTTTTCTAGACTTAGATTCTGTAGTGAATGTGCTTTATAAAAGGCATTGCCAAATAAATTGATTTGCAATCCTTAGCCATTATTTTAAATATGCTTTTTAAAACCTCATTTTGTTTGAATGCTTACTAAAAATAGTACTCTCATACTGAAAGCATGCTGGTTTTGAACTTGTCCTTGTCCCTTCTTTTAAAAAAATTGTTTTTGCAGTATTGCACACTGCCTTTTATTTTCTGCTTCATATATTAAACTAGAAGAGAAATAAAGCATTTCCAGGCTTCTGTGGAGAACTTCTAATATTTCAATTTGAAATATGGGTGGGTCAACTGCAGAATCAGTAATGTAGCCAAAACCATTTAATATTCTATTTAAATTAAAGTATCTTAAAATAAAGTAATTGGAGAAAGATCATCTGACTTAGAGTTCTTCTAACACCTGTTAAGTATTCATACATGATAATTTTAACTTGAAATGAGTACAATTCTATTATGTTGATTGCGTACAGTGGGAGTTGAAACCCTGTCCCAAATTGCCTTGTTTTCTCCTGTAACAGAGGAGGACTTTGAGAAGTTGCCCAAGTCCACTGTTCCTGAGATGCAGCGCAGTAACCTTGCACCCGTCATCTTGCAGCTGAAGGCTTTGGGAATTGACAATGTGCTCAGGTTCCCCTTTCTTTCCGTGAGTCCTAGGCTGTAAAGTCTGTCATCTTTCGTTAGGGTGAAGAAAGGTCACTAGGTGACTTGTTGATAACCCTCAGAACTGGTAACCAGTTGCCACCTTAGTTTGGAAAGCATAACTCATTGTCCACTCTCAGTCAGCAAAGTATGATTTTGGAAATCAACTAGTGCAAGTAACGTGTGTGACAACTTAGAAACAATGCCTGTATTCTAGAGTTTGCTGTTAGAGATGCTGAGAAGTCAAGAAAAGCCTAGAAAGAAACTCTTGAGATTCTGTAAAACTATAATAATAGTCCCTTTCCACTGAATTTATGAAGAAAAAGGAAAAAAAAGATTGATATGTGCAGAGCTAAAGCTATGCTTGTCTGTCTTGTTAGAAAGAGCAGTACCAATTTTTAGGTTTGCTTTCTGTAAAGTTTCTAGCTACTCTTGTACTGATGGGAGAAACAAATATGGTAGAGTAAGAAGAGAAAGTTAAGTAATTGTTCTGATCACTGTTGGACAAAGCAAGTACACCATTTCCAGCTCAGATCCTGAGAACATCGTAGTGCTAATGCTGAGTCTGTTGAGATGGTTTTGACTTGGAGCACTGCTGGTCAGTGGAAGGATGATAGGAAGAGTCCGAGAGCTATTTCTTCATTTTGCATAAGGAGGAAGGTGGGTAGTTAGAACTTAAGGATTTTGTGAAAGAAGACTAACTTTTATGAAAACTTGTGTGTTCCATGATGATAACTTTAAACAATGCACATTTTTTCTTCACAGCCACCTCCTGCACAATCAATGGTGCAAGCTTTAGAATTGCTGTATGCTTTAGGAGGTGAGAATATTATGCTTTGCTTTATTTATAGTTACATTACAGGAGTTACAAAAAAAAAATTGTTAATTTGGATGTGATGATTGGATGGACATTAATCAAACTTGTGTTTGAGAACTGTGCTTTGAGAAAGAGGAAAATGCAGCCTTGACTGGTGGAAGGTTTTTACTGGTGTGTTTTTACAAGTGTACTTCAGTGTCCTCTGAAATTACTTTCTTTTCCTCCAGTTGTCTCAGACAGGTAAGCAAGCAAAAGGCAGCAATAACTTTCTGGGAGGAACTAGAAATCTACTGCATAGAGTATAAACTAGAACTTAACTGTTTAGATTGGGCAAACACATATTTTATAGCTATCTTCTTTGTATTTGCTTACACCTTCATGGAAAGAAGCAGCCAGGAACAGGACCCTGAGCTGATGAAGGTGTTGGCTTGATGCTCTCAGGCAGATGCTCTTTCTGTGTTTCTTCAATCCTTAGAGTGGTACAAAGGTACAAATTGAGTTCGGACACTAATTAGACCAATACACAAGTTAGACACTAAATTTCCCTGCATCCTATTAAATAAGTTGTTAGATACTCAAGCTCTTAATGTGGTGATCTTTCATTTTGTGTTAATGTGCCGGTGATGGAAACATGTAACACTTGTAAGTATAAACAAAAAAATTGAAAGTAAAGGTTTGATATCTCTTTCAAGATCAGTCTGATGGTAATAATACAGAATTTATCAAGCTTAATATAATTGCTACTTTGTTTATTCCTTGGTTAGACTTTAAAAAGCATAGTTCTAATACAAACTTGTGATGAAAAGAAGAAAAAGCCAGTCTGACAGACCCTCAGAGCATAATTCAAAGTACTCTTTTACTGTTTAGCTACTTAAGAGAGTATCTTTTTTATTTTGTTCTCTGAATTACTAATCAGCTTGCTCTCAAGTTCAATAGAGTCTGAACAGTGTTTTTAGTCATATGGTTTAGTTTTAGGTAGTTCTGTGAGGAGTAGGAAGTTGGACTTGATAATCCCTATGGGTCCCTTCCAGCTTGAGATACTATGATTCTGTGATTCTAAATTTGCATTTCATTCATTATGCTGCTGTTGGGTACCTATAACACTCAAATCACACTGTAGTATTATTTTTATAAACAGTTTTCAATTCCTTTTTGTTGTGGTGAGTGGAATGTATGTTGTTTAATTTTGTTTATAGGAAGAACTGTTATATTGTTGATTTTTTTGACAGCTGTTTAATCTTTTTGAATGCAACAACCTTAAAACAGAAACTTGACACAAGAATTAGTAATCAAAATGAAACTCTGTTTGACTTGAACTCAGTATTTGTAGTTAATTCAAAGTTGACAATAATGTCAACATGAGGTAAAGGTGATTGTGTAAATTTTGGAAGTTTCCAAAGGTTTGTGGCTGTTTTCATATCGCTTACAAATGCTGTGTTGTAACTTGTGGTGGTCTGCACTGTTGTTGTTCTCATGGAGCTATAACTCTCTGCTCTCTTTTACTCTGAGTTGATTCAGTTCCACTTAAGGCACTTGGTTCTTGGCAACCATGTCAAGCTTGGAATGAGGAACTTCACAGTGGCTCAGAAGCACATTGCAAAGATCAATTCAGAGCCAAAGCCACCTTAGGGAAATGGAGAGGAAAGGTCAATAAACTCACTGATTAGCTGTTTGATGTTTTGGTAAAAGCATTATGCTCGTGGTAGCTTCACAGGAAAGTTCAGAGCTGTTACTCTGTTGGCTGCCCAGCTTTTGTAGCAAAGCCGAGAAGTGCTGATGTTGGTGTTTAAGATGGAAAGAAATCTGTGTGTGTATGTGTGATACATGGATTCGCTCTCCAATTTTTGCTGAAGTTTAAGGTTTTAGGTGGTTTATTATGGAGATTTTATATAAGTTGCAGAGATGAAGCTGCCCAAGCGTTTGCAGGTGCAGTGAGGATTAAATTTCTCTTACACAAGTATGAACACGCATTCCATAATCTGCACTGTAATAACATGCAAATGTGCAGGTTAGGGGCAGATCCTATTGTGTCAAACTTGTGCAGAGCAGGCGCTCTTCAGGTTGAGCTAGTTCTGTTGAATAAACACATCACTGGTTTTTAGACTGATTATTTTTACAGTGATGCAAACTGATTACATCAGGAGTCTCTTCTCAGCCTTCTCCTTTGATGCCCCTTTGAAAGTCTGAGCTGTCAGTTGGAGTTTATTGTTTTTAAATGTAATTTAGGAGGTAAATAAGCAGGTAAAAAAGTCTTTATTTTAAGCTTTATTTCAGATCCAAGATTTTGTTGAAGATTTGTTTGTAAGTTGTCACCTATTAGAAACAACCACTCTGGCTATGTTTAAAATAAAGTGTTTTAATCCCTCAGCCCATTACATACTAATGGCTGTTAGGTGAAGCTTTTTAGTGACACACTACTTGAATAATCTCTCCTGAGCACATTCAATAAAAATCTTTGCAGTATCTTTTTCTAAGTGGAGCTGAAGGTCTCCAGTTTCCTACATACCAATATATATATAGATACAAAGGTTATAGATACCTATATATATATATATATATGGATACAAAGGTTAATTCCAAGATTATTTGAAGGAAACTTTTACCTGTTCCAAACTTGTGTTCATTGCAGGCCTTTTGTGTATGTTCAGGCTTACTGCTACAAAGACATCTGTGCACAAGCTATACATGTCAATGCAAAGTTGCACTGAGATTTGTAGGATTCAGCAGAAGCCGAAGGATTTTGCCTTGATGCGCTTGTAGAAAGTTAAAAAGATTATAATATCTCTTTCTCCTACTTATGAACCCCATTATCTTTCTGTAGACAGAAGATAGCATATTCTAAGCTATTAATTGTGGTAGCACTCGAACTTCTCATATTGCAGTGGTCAAATGAAAGCTGTCATACCTTAATTTTTGCAGTTTTTGTGACTTTGTGTTTAAAAATATCATTTTATCATTTCACATAAACTGCCTTTTGTACCTGTTTGTGAGGAAAACGTTTTGACATTACATTAAATGTCTGTTAGGTTTTATTAAACAGCGTAGGGGTGTGGTGAGTGAATTACTACATTGGTGTAATAAGTGAGATGATGGCATATCAAATAACAAAGGAAATAAAACACTCGATAGAGGTATCTGTGGCTGACATGAGTTACAGGAGATCTCATTCCTTGGCTTGATTTATGGTTTTGCTTTGCTCTGTGAAGCGTAACTGAACTACAACAGTGGGGTTTTGCCACCACACAGTTTGACAAATAATATGTTTATATAACACATGGGCTGGAGTTGCGTTTCCTCAGTCCACTCTGCTGTGGTTATTTATGCAATCTTCAGTGCCCCAAAGTCCTATTATTGGGCTCATTAGTCACTCCTTGTTTCGCTTTTCTCTTGTGCTCTGCATCCTTGTTGTACCTCATGCAACTTGACTTGCTTGCAGTTTTCTCTTCCAGTTCTCACTCTTTGCCTTTCTTAGCAAGCTCTTTTCTTCTTCTTGTTTCCTGTGTCTATATTCATTTTTTAATTCTATTTCCTACGTCCTCTTGCAAAGGCAAATCCTTTTTAATTTAAATAGTTTCCTGAAATTTCAGCATAGTGTGCTGGATTAGAATATGACCCAGTGGTTTGCATAGGTAAACCTTACTGCAGGTGTTTGACTGTAGGAAACCCTGCAACTAAAATAGTAAATGTGCAGGGTTACTTGTTGATAACTGGAAATGGAAAAGCAAGTTGTCATGCTTCTGTCCTGTACCATCACCAGCAAAAAGGCTACAGCTGGAACATGGCTGACAGTTTAGTTATTGATGCATGAGGCAGACTAAACTATAGAAAATCTTCATCAGCTGTACAGCTCTAGTTTAGATTATATTAAATTATTTTTCTCAATGATCTAAGCAGATGTGACTCAGAAAAATTATACCCTACCCCCTTCCAGTAGTGCTTCCTGTTTCTACAATTATGCCTGTTCAATAATTATGACCTTTTTTAATTCTCTTTGGGACTCCTTCTGCTTCCCACCACCATGAACAAAGATATTGCTAAATACTTGGAAAGGAGCTGCACGTGTCTGACAGCAAATGGGCACTCTGGCCATTGCATTGCCTTTGTGAGTTTCCTAAATCATTGGCAGTAGCAATGTAACTTCATCAGACTGAAGAAACTTGTGTGTTCAAGTATGTTTAAAAAACCCAAATAATACCAGTGACCCATAGGAGAGTAAATGCATAATAAGGAGCACCTTTAAGCTTAGTTTAATATACATTTGTAGGTGTTTTTGCTATATTTTAGCTCTTAATTCTGCTAAAGAAGACTTTTCTATGCTACTTTTGCCTGTTTCACAGCTACGTTTATTAATATGCTGTAGGTTTGGATATGCACTGCCGTTTAACAGAGCCTCTTGGAATGAGAATAGCAGAGTTTCCTTTGAATCCTATGTTTGCAAAGATGCTTCTGGAATCAGGTAGGAGGAAAAAAAACAACATGGTTTTTTCGTAGTCTTGTGTTGAGTGGACGTTATTGCCTTTAGTGATTATAATGTAGTATTAGACATTTGCTCAACTTGAAACAAACTCTACTTCATCTTGGTATGGTGTTTAGTGAAAAGAATTGGTTAAACTCGTGGACCTTTCTAATAAATAACGTCTAACATGTTTAACACACTAATTAATAAGTCTAACACCTTCATCTGAACTTTTGCATTAAAAATGTTTACTGTTATACTCAAAAAAATAATCCAAGAGTTTAGATGTTTTGGTTTTATATGCTATAAAAATATATTCCACTTCTTTTCCTCTTTATTCTACATGGGGATAAGTTGAATGGAAGATGATTTCATTTACTGAATTTCTCTGCTTCTCCATTTCTCCTCAGGAAATTTTGGCTGCTCCCAGGAGATTTTGACAATTGCTGCCATGATGCAAATTCAAAACATCTTTGTGATCCCTCCAAATCAAAAAGCTCAGGCTGTAAGTTCAGTCATCTGTCATTTTCTTTTTGTTAGTCCCACATTTCTGGATTTCTGCCAAGTATTTCATTAATAACCATTGCAGACTGCAAGACTGTATGAAAATGGAACAAGGTCTTAAAGTGTACCTGTTGGTTATAGGTAAAAGAAGAAACTGAGTAACCTGGAGTCCTTTACTAGTGTTAACACCCTCCTTCTGAGAACCAGAAACAAGAAGGGTTATAAAACAATAATGGTCAGCGTAAGGGTTTGTGAGGGGGGGAAAAAAAAAGCCCAAAACAAAAAAACCCCGATATCCCCAACCACCACTTCCTTTCAAGAGGAACAAAAAATAAAGTATTGGGATGTAGCAAATTCTTAACAGGTAGCAGGAGCCTAATTTTAATTCATTCCCTTCTTGGATTTGGGGGGTTCATTTTCAGTTCATTTTTCTAATTTCACTTTTAAAAGTGCTCCTGAATATAGACAGGCTAGTAAAATACTGCTGTTACCTAGAGGAACCACTCTGTATGGTAAGAGTTTTGATAGCCACCAGTAAATACAGAGATGATGGGAACTGAGCATATTGGACATGGTTTTTGCAAAAATCAATCTGCCTATAAAAATATATTTCTTCTTCTCCAGGCCAGGCAACACAGGAAGTTTGCTGTGGAAGAAGGTGATCATCTCACTATGCTTAATGTTTATGAAGCCTTTGTCCAAGTAAGTCAGTTCAAGTGTATGTGGATTTGCAGGAATGGGAAGAACTTGAGGACCTTAGTTCTGATTCTGGAAGTTCTGGATATAGCATCCTCAAAGCTGAGGGCTTACCAAGTCTATTAAGTGATAATTCTGCTTTAAAAGGTAGTCTGATATTTTGCTGATACGAAGCACTTCTGTAATAATATATTAGCAACAGTGTTGAGTTGAAGTGGTATAACCACTCAGGTGCTTAAATAACAACTTCTCTCTCCCTAGCCCCAAAGCGATTGGTCAGGCACCAACTGAAATTTTGCCCTTTAAATTTTATATCTGCATAATTTTCTTAGAAACAGCCAAATGCAGAGGCTTTTTGAGTAACTGCTGGCTTCTGGAGAAATAGTTCTTTGCATAGAGCAAAGCAATTAAAACAGTGTATAGAAAAGGTTGTTTACATTTTGAGATTGAAAACAGACTAGTTTATGATACGATGCATTTGTGTGTGAGAATGGAATGACTGATGCTCTTCTTTCACCACATATGAAGAAATGAAGCACATCTGCTTGAAAATACCCCGTAGCATTTGTTCTGCTACTATTTAGAAGTTGTTTGAAACATGTTTCGTAGTTATTGGTGCTACGTAACCTTGTTAGTTGCTATGTAAATAGGTAATTTTCAGGGAAAACAACAATAAGTATGTTGTAGGAGACAGAAGAAAACCAGAATGAGGCTATGTGATCCAAAAGACATTGGGCTTTGTTTGCTGATGGTATCTCATTGCAATTTTTTCTGTTCTTCTCACTGTACAGCACAGCAAGAGCTCTCAGTGGTGTCAGGAACACTTTCTGAACTACAAAGGGCTTGTTAGAGCTTCTGTTGTAAGAGAACAGCTGAAAAAGCTTCTCGTCCGCTTTAAAGTGCCAAAGAAGTCCAGTGAAGGTGAACATTTTTTTTAATCCGTTGTCCAATACAATTGAAGCTAGTTTCCAAATTGTCAGTCTGCTTCCTGCTTTTCTTGCAGCCTTTGAAGTCATTTCTCCCTGGCCTAAAAGTAATGCTAATTAAAACCAGATATTTGTCCTAAAAATGACTGCAGAAGAGCATTTTAGCCCATTTTTACAATTAACATTTAGTCCAGTCTTCATTTGTTAAGTTTTCCAGCACGATATTATAACCACTGATTGTCTATTTAATGGACAGATTTACCAAAAGAGTCCTAAACAGATCATGCTGTTCCTTCTTTTGACTTTTCAAAAAGCCATTTTTCTAGTATGTTCATTTTCCAGTCACTGGGATCTGATTTCCAGCAGTGCTCTGCATGCATGGATGCCATAACGAGTTCTCAACACTTGTCTCTAATTGCTCTCAAAAATCAGATGTCAATGCCTAGCTGTCACTCAAGATTGCTCTGAGGACTCTGAAACTGTCTTCATGGAGACACCAATGGCAACAGTAGTTTTTTTATGTAGTACTTTTGATTTGCTGTGAAATTGAAGTCAAAAGAGATTGCAGGGTTTGTCTGCCTTTGAGCCTTTGTTAGCAAAGCCTGATGTGCTGTGAAAAGTTGTTTGGGATGATTACGTGGTATTTTAGGGATTTTTGCCATTCCATTGACTCATTTTACAGAAAAATTCTTATTTTCAGGTGATCCAGATCCTGTTTTGAGATGCATAGTTTCTGGGTTCTTTGCTAACGCTGCTAAATTCCACTCTACTGGAGCTTACAGGTAAATATATGTATTTTCTTAGCTTAGTTTAAAAGCTTCTTTGACTGGATAAATTAAAGTATAATCAACAAACAGGTGTTTCGTTATGCACTTGCAATAAGAAACATGTGGTAATTGGTTTACTAAATATTTGAACTTTTGCATTTTCAAACTGTTTCAATGTTTCTCTCTTCTTTTTGACAAATATAAATAAAGTTATTGATAGTGGAAGCTGTTACTAGTAGTAATTAACTTGTGTTTAATATAAGCAAGTACAGTTGTAGTGCAACAATGTTGTAGCACTCATTTAATTTAGGACATTAAATTATCAGTTGTTCCTCTGGCCAGGATTTAAACCTGGTTTAATCTGTTCATTAAATGTGAATATTTTTATTTTGCTCTTTCATTGTTGCTTTTCATTAACACTCTTACTGGAGATGAAAGTAACCAAGTGTTAAACAATAAATAGATGCACAGTCTAAAATAATATCTTGCTTTCAAGGACTATCCGTGATGACCATGAACTTCATATCCACCCCACTTCAGTGTTGTATGCAGAGAAACCTCCACGCTGGTAAGTTCAAGCTGCTTTCACTTGTTTTGTGATCTTTATAAAATACTCTCAGCATCCAGACATTTTAATGAATGACTTTTCTCCATCAGTGGAGGAATAGATATAGAAGCTCATGGTTCCCACTGAACTAGTAATTTCCTTTGCAATTTTTTGTAGACAGTATCCAAAAACTTAGGGAAATAAAATGATGTTTAACTATGAAAAAACCCTCCAACCTTTCCAAGAGGTTGGAAAGCAGGGTCAGGTGATACTTTTTTTAATGGGCAACATATCTTGCACTGCAAATTACTCTCTGAATAGTCTCTGTACCTAGCTAGAACCAGGGTTAATTTACTTTAATTAAGCCTATTAAGGAAATACCCTGTCAAATAGGTGCTACAGCAATTGCAAATGGCTTGTTAGGAGAGTGCATACATGTAAAATACATGATGTGAAAAATTACAGCTGTCTAGGAAAGAAATGGTTGTACTTTCTTATTAGCTGGGATGTTACATTTCCATTTGTATGTCAAAGATGCTCAGATTACAAATCAGAATGTGTTTCTAATTATTGGGTCAGCATGATCAGCCTGAAGTATTTGGATTCTGGTCCTTCTTTGCCTGTTGCTGAGACTTTGAAGGATAAACTTGGCTAGTGTCCTCTGTTCTCTTTGAATTGGGCTCCTACACATGGTGCACAGGGTTTGCAGAAGTGTAACTGACTGGAACTCAGCCACCAATTTACGTGGGCTCACAACATAAAAATGAGTCCAGCTCACTGTACTAATTCTTCAGGGCTGAGTTGAGCAGAGTGTAGCTGAAGTAATTTTTGCCACTGGAATCAGCCTGATTTGTTGCTGTTTTGCCAGGGGTTTTTTTTACCTCCTGTCACTGCTATTAGCAATAAACACAATTTGTTTGACATAGTAAAAAGAATACTTTGCAAATATACCTACTGCTAGCTAGAAAACTTCAGAAATAACATCCTGAAAGAGGTTGGATTATGGGAAGGTGACAGACAGTAAGAAGAATAAGTTGAGAAGAAATTAATCTGGGAAGAAAATCTAATGGTAGGAGAATACTGGAAGAATTCTTTGCTCCAGCACACACCACTTAACAGGCTCTGCTTTTAGATGATGAGCCCTCAGCGTGGAACTTCTATCCCAGCCTTGGCTGCTTCCAGACATCTAGAAAAGCATAACAGCAGACAGCTAGCTGGAAGTTTTAACTGGCAAAGCCTTAAGACTGCTCCTTGCTTCACAGCCTGTTTGCTGTTGGTGGCAGCAGTATTGCTGGAGTTTTTGGGAATGCTGATTCTGGACTTAAATCTCTTTCTGGACCCCTGTGTTGCAGAACAGGCACAGAGCTGTCTTCCAAGGCCGTGTGGTATTGCCACTGCCAGCCTAAAGATGCTGCTGGCTCATGGTGTCTTATAAGTCAGGAGTTAAACTCATTTCAGTGCTGCTGCTGCCTGGGCAACCATCCTGTATTGAGGGCTTCAATAATCTATTACAGGTGCATATAAAATGAGTTCTCATTCTTGTTTCTTTTACTCAGATTTCTCTTCAGTTGTATTAGTTAGTATGTCTTGGGCTATATTTGGCAGAGAAGAGCGTTTTGGACTCTTTCCTCTTTGCTTTTGAGAGCAAAATACCAATTAGTGAGAGACCACGAACCTTGTGGGTTTGCAGCTCTGCTGTGTATAGAAGGCAGATAATGACTTCTGGTTTTGGTGACTAACCCTTCAGCGCGTGGGTTTGCGCTTCCTTGGTAAGAATTACTCTCCCTAGTGAAGGGTGACTTCAGAAATAGGTGCCCGTCCTGGCAACCTGTTCGTGCTGGCAGCAGGGATCAAGTCCATATGGCCGTGTGTTTCTAAATCTCTTACCAGGGGATGTTCTGACAGTAGTTAAAGCTGATTTCTTCCTCTAACCCTTATCTTGGTTGTCTGCAGACAGACACCAGGGACAGTCATGCTGTGATTTGTGCTCTACAGGGTCCAGGGTTTTGATGCTTTTGACGTCCTTCCTCATGACATCACAGAGTACCTAATATTCTCATTTCCAAAGCATCTGTTAGGAGTTCCCCTTGGCCCCATTATAAGAAATACTCTTTCTTTTATACCTCTCATCCATATGTCCTGGTAGTATGTGGAGGTGTTTTTAATGTCAGTTTAAAGCTTTTCTTAATGTAGAGTACTCTGAACAAGCAGAGGTAAAGAGATAAGAGGCTGTATTATAACTTAAAGACTCTCTTGTCATTCTGTAAGTACTACCCCTGGCAGAATGTGTGTGAATCTGTCTAATTATGCTGTCAGTCATCTCTCCCTCATTGATTTATAGCAAAATTACTAATTTTTTTCCTTTCTCCTAGGGTGGTCTACAATGAAGTCATACAGACCACTAAATATTACATGAGAGATGTGACTGCTGTTGAATCTGCGTGGCTCTTGGAACTGGCACCTCATTTTTACCAGCAAGGAACGGTACGGAATCGGCATAAAGCCCAAACGGTACCATTGCTGTATTAGCAGCTCTCGTATCTGAACTTTTTGAGTGTTTATGTTTTGTTGTTGTCTATTTAATGTTACAAAAATGAGGTTGGTTTTGTTCATTGTAGTAGTTTTAATATAAAGAAAGAGGGTAATAAACTGATGCATGAAAGCTTTTTCCCTATTATCCAGCCAGCAGACGTGATCTCAAAGTTACAAAATCGTATATCACTCTAGTAAATGAAACATTCAACCATTTACACTTGAGTGTTGGCACTTAGTAAGGACTTCTCTGAGCAGCACTGTAGCTAGGCAGTGCTCATACTTTGCACAATAATTTTAGAGCAGTCTTTGCCTGCTTTGCAAATATTTGTGCAAATCCTGAGCCCTTTTTTGAGCATTAATTGTTTACTGCAAAAAATCAGCTCTGATCTGTTCAGACTTGAAGTGGCAAAGAACAACTGCTTTATGTTGTATGTGATATACATACCTCTTCTTCACAAGTATCGTTTAATAGTTGTCACCATCCTTTATCAACTCTGTCCCCTGTGAATCCATCAATCTTGGTCATTCTGAGAACTGAATTGGTATTAAATATTATCTAAATGTTAGTTATGCTGAAGCTGTTGATACTACATTGCACGTAAATACTGTACAGGCAGGATTACCAAATTGGTCTTGCATGTGAATTTCCCATGGGAGATTAACAACCACTGAGCTTTCTATTCTAAATTGGTGAAATATTTCCAAAATACCGAGTGAAAAAATGTACTTTGCCTGTGCAAAACAAGATCTGTTCATGCATGTGAGCAGCCAGGTTGCAAAAATGGCTGTTTCTGATTTATAGTTCTGCTGCCCTCTTTCACTTTTCTGAGAATCTGATGTTTGTTTTCTTTCACTTCCTGGGGTTTTTGGATAAAAGAAAACACTGTGGTGCCTGGAGCACCTTAGGACTTACCTCTGTGGTTACAGTGTGCAGCAGCATTGACATCTGTCAGTGTAATTGAATTGAGAAGGGTGGTTTTTGTTGGGGGTGAGGTTTGTGGGGGTTTTTTTTATGTTGAGCTTGGATAATTAACCTCAGTTGTCCAGACACCATCTCTAAATGCACTTACTAAGTAGCTGAATATTTTCTACGTTTTTTTTCTATAACACATTTGACAAAGGCAGCAATGACCCCTGCAGGATAGACCCTTGAGTCTTTAGCTGCTGTTAGACATTCTGCAAGTGTGGTGTAAAACAGAGATGAGCCAATGTTTCAGTTCTATCAAATCTACTCCTGGAATAATTAATCCTTTTGACTCACATATTTACGTGTTATAACATCCCAAACACAACACAACATCCCATTATGATGTGACCTCTCCACAGGCTCAGTTTTGGGGTGAGGTTTTCCTTTAGGTAGGTAGTATTGGGGAATGTGACTCAATGACTTATTCAGGCAAAACTGGTATTGTTTTTTGTAAGTGAAGACAACTTGTCTTGAATAGTACTACCTACCTGACTGAGAGAACGTATTTTTCAAGGTAGTACTGCTACTGTTGTAGATATTCTATGAAATTACCTCAGAACCTAATTTTTACCATTGCCCTCCTTTTGATTTGATAGAGATAAACTCAGTTTGCAGTATGACCTAAGCATAGCTTTCATCCTAAAATAAATCTTGTGGAAGCTCTGGAGAATAGGGCTGATTTTGAAGAAAATTATCTTTTCCAGTTTGGTCAGTTATCCTTATTGGCCAAAAGCCTTGGATATCTTTATAGGATGTTTAAAAATTAGAAGTATTCCTACTGTGGAAAGCTTTGAATGATACATGTAAATTTTGAATAAGGAAGCCATTTTAAAAAACACAAATTCATGCTCATTTATAGACATTCAGACCCTTTTTCTCCTGAAGGATATATCTTTGTGCTAGTGAGAGATTCCTGAAATATGATAATTTTTACTCCTCTATCAAGTTAAAAACAAACTACAACTGAATAGGATTCATTCATAGCTTCATGCATGTAGTACTAGTGTTTGTGCAGATGTATTGTTGGGAACACGTGTATCTGTATCATTTTTATACACTAGCAACTTGCTTCTGGTGGGAAATTGTTCCTATCCTCACAGTTAGTACAGAAGTACTAGAAGATGATATTTTATACCAAGCCAGAATAACACTTCAGGGTACATGTAGGTTTGGATTTCCTAGATTTATTTTAGCTATATCAGTAACAAGCAGAGCTTGGGAAGGGTGGTCTTCGTATAAGAATTTATTTAATTTGGGATTAAAGACTGAAAGCATTCTAACTAAACATTTTTCTAATTGTATGTATGCTAAGCAATTTTTCTTTTTTTTTTTTCTTGCAGCATCTTTCCTTGAAAGCAAAAAGGGCTAAAGTAGATGACCACTGACTGGACGTGACTTAAGTCTTGTGACAGCAAATGCAGAACCTTCTGGTGATTTCAAGCTGGCTGCAGTCCATTCAGCAGTCAGTTCATTAGCAATTTCATCTTACATCAACTTAAATGTTTAAATGCCTGCCAAGATCCATAGGGGTTTATGCATGACCAGTACATTGTAAACCTATGTAGAGCTTGCATTGTGGACACTTGATTCTTTGCCTACTTGACCACTGTTAACCTGGGTATGTTGCTCCTTTTAAATAGGTAGAAAAACAATTTAAAAACTAAGAGGACATACAGGACCACAAAAAAAAAAATGAAACCTTCAAGAAGGAAACTGATTTCCTGGAGTGGTACGGCTGCCTTATGAGAGTGGGGAATAGGGTACCCTGCCTCCTGTTACCTAGAGCACTGTGACTACTGCCGGCCAAACTGAGACTGACTCCTGACAGCAGGAGCCTCAGGGCAATGAACTAGCCCTGAAAATGCAAGGGGCTGCTATGGAAACATTGATTTCTTCTTGGACCATCCCAAACTGGTGCAGCTTGTGCTCCCAAGTAGTAGAAGTCTCCTGCCTGAGGTTGAGCTGCCTGTGGCTCCCTGTGCTGTAACAGCCCTTCTGTGGGTAGCATCGTATTAAAATGTCTTGTTTCCATACACAAGAGTTGCTGTTTGGGGAGGGGGAGGAAGAGTAGCTCAGTATTTTTAAGAAGGATTAACTTTTTGCTCAATCAGGGGACTATACACATATGTTCACAAACAATCCAATTCACAGATGGGCTTTACTTTTCTTTTTTTTTTTTTCCTAATGAGAGAAAAGGTATTAGCCTCTCACTGCTTGGAAATACCAGAAAATTTCAGTAGGGGTGTATCTCTGAACACTGTTTTTTTTAGCCTCTGCCATTCAGCAAAGATGAAAATGTTCTGTACTTTCCTATAAGGAACACAGTTCTGTAAATTTATTTTATTAAGAATTTCTTACTTGCTTCTTGGGACTCTTCATATGTTACTGTAAGAGAAGGATGCTCCAAACAGTTGCTGCTTTAATCAGGATTCCATGGCTACTTTTCAGTAAGGAAACCTTTTTGTGTTTTAACAAGATAGCTTGGATACATGTATTTATTTTTTTCAACCCTATTGATATTTATTTTAGAAACACATTGTTTGAAATATTTATTTTTGTAAAGCAACTGTTTTGATGAATGTTTTTGGCATGTTAACAATAATTTTATTTTTTTTTTAAAGTATGTAAATAGGCAAAAATTTCTACATAGAACAAATGCCTTCCTCATCACAGGACTGCCTTGAAAACTTTCTTGAGAGCTTCTTTATCTTCTCCCTTCCAAACACCTGCAGAGAGAACGTTCTGTCATGTGCAACGTGTGGTCTATTCAGTGTCTGTGTCCTGACTGCCAGCACAAAAAGATGTACCAGTCTCCATGTATGGCACCAGCAGCATGACAAACCCTGTCACCTTCCTTGTTGATTCCCCTGTGAGCCTCACCTTTGTATTACTCTCTTAGAGTGGAAGCTCTTTGGGGCAGGGACTGTCTCGTAGCCAGAGCTGAGAGCAGTATTGACACTTATTTAAAAGATTCAATTTGCAGGTTTTTCTCTCTTAAAGGATCGGAGAAAGAACTGAATATGAAGCCTTGTAAAAATGTCTGTGTTTCTCTGTCCTCTGGAAGTATTCTTAAGAAAAATAAAACCATTGAATCAAGGAAGCTTGAGAATGCGTCACTTCAGCTTTAGTGGGCGATTTCCCAAGGGACTGGGTGGTTGTACTGTGCTGGTCTGAATTGTGATGGGCTGTCAGTGGATGGCCACTTCATTTGCCAGTTCTGACAATTTCGGGTGGTTCTGGAGAACTCTTCTCCAGATGTTCTTTTACCTGGTTGTACAGCTGCAAAATTTTCTCTTGGAATGATTGCGACTCCTACTGAGTTCAGAACTCAGGATGTATAAGCTTTGTAACGTGCTGCAAGTGGTTATCAGTGCAATAGGTCTTTGTAAACAAAAAAAAAAAAAATTGAGACTTGTGTTTGTAGCAGTTTTACAAACTGTTGAGGTGTTGTCAGACGTGCGGACACAGAACAGGCAGACTTTATACCGGAGACGCAGGCTAAGACTAAATGTTTTTAATATCCAGGTTCAGGTTACCTGTAGAGAGAAAACACTGCTTGCATCAGAAATGTGGAGCCTTTGAAGGTGTTTGAAGACAGAAACCCAAAACTTAAAAGACCTGAAAATCTCTTTACTTTGTAAAATTTTGGCCTACAGCTCTCTGCTAGATTTGTACATAGCATTATGCTTTAAAAAACTTGGGTTAAGGAGCTGGATAACTGTGCCTTGTTGGCTCTTTGCTGCATAAACAGTCTGTGTGCTGTTGTGGGGGAGTTCGGAGTCAGCTGAAAATGGTTGTCAGGATTTTATGAAACAGTTTAAGGATTTTAAACCTGGCTTTTACAGAATGAGATTAAAATATTAGGCTCTTGAATCAAAATGCTGCTTGAAATAGAAGTCATGTCACCACTGGCAAGGAGACAGGTTTGTTTTTTTTTTTAAAAAGTTAATTTACAATCTGTTAATGTCAAATTGCTATGGAGGGGGGGGAAAGGAGCTGTGCTCCTGAAGTCCATCAGAAAGTGCTCCCCATGTTTCTACTCATGACTTTGGTATTGTCAGTTTAGAGTAAGGTGAAGCTAAATTGGAATAAAAATTCAGCCAAGACAATATTAATTGAACTATGTTTCTCATCTTATAGATTAAAAATGCTTCTGATAAATTGATGGGAAAACAGTCACAACTCTTCCTGGTTAATCTGAAGAAAGAGACCAGTAATTAAAAAACTAAAATGAAAAAAAAAAAAAAAAGGAAAATAAATAAGGGAGTGGGGACTGCCACTTCTTCTCAGTGCTCTATGATAAAAATGCCTGTATAATGGGATATGTAATTGAGCTGTACACACAGTGATGTTCTCTAAAGGTGCATCAAGGTAAGGTGATGTAACTTATTTTTAAGCTGAGTTAATTTTATATGTGTTACAATAAGCACATTGCAGACAGGCACTGGGAAAAAGTGGTAAGTCGGGTTGCATGTGTCTTTCTAAACCCCCAAAAAAAAGTAGTTTATCGGAATCAGATATCTGTGTGACTCATTCTAGATCTGGTGGTTCAGATCTGTTCTGGCTCGTGGGCAAGTGAAAGCAGTGAATAGATTCCTGTTCCAGCAAATGGAAAAACAGGACAGAGATGCTGAGATGGGGAGGGTGTTGGAGCAGCGTTTCTGCCTGAGGGATGACGGGGTCAGCACTAGAGATGTTTCAGTAGTTCCAACTGTATTCTGCAAAGGCGCTTCTGATTACAGGGGCGAGCTGGGCTTCTCTCATTCTGCTGGGAGCCTTGGTCATAGGGCAGGAGGGAGGGAAAGGAGTGGAGAAGCAGAGGTATCCACAGGGATGGTGCAAGTAGGTGCGGGGTTTCCTCATCATCAGTTCCCAGTGACTCAGAGCACTGCTGGCTCCTCTGGTTGCTGCTGAGCAGGTGCTTACCAAGCTGCTGGCTTGGGTGGTGGGAAACTGAACTACCTGAAGCTGATTGGGAATTAATTAGCTGAGCCAGTACTGCTGTGCTTGTCCCCTTTCTGTGACTTTTGTGATAAAACACCTGACCAGCAGTCCTGGAGTTGAAGATGGAGCTGCTTGTTGGTGGGGAGCAGGAGCACGGGCATGATGGCTTCGGTGCTGCAGAGGTGGTGTGAGGCTGGGCTCAGGCATTCACCTTGCCATGGTGGAGGTAAAAGCCACCTAGGCAATATGCTATTTTTGGAAGTGAAAGGTGGTTCTGTTCTGAAATGTAGCTGTCAAAATCATTCCTCATGTTGCAGCTGCTTTCTTTACCAAGGAAATCAGCTGTATCCGTTTTCTCCACTAGCCCTTCAGAATCTCCTCATTTGAGAGCATCGACGTGCATCGGTAGCTGTTGTCATCCCATCATTCTGGTAAGCGTCACTTACTGGTCTTGTTCATCACTTTGGAGCAATTCCATTGAAGGCAACTTGGAACCAGTGTTTATTACTGTAATTTAATACCTTTATATTATTCTCTATCAAGTGGCAATGCTGTCAACAACTGGCAAAGAAAGTCAACAATACAACTCAGCATTTAGACCAAGATCCTCTACCAGGACTTAGAATAAACAAGTTGCAAGAGTGAACATAAGCAGCAAATGGAAAAGGTGTCCTTATAGCCAGGTTCTGGTCTGTTCTGAGACTTGCAGAACTTTTGTCCTGGTGGGCATGGGTGGGGTTTTTCTTCTCTCAGTTAATAACTTTATCTTTCTCTGTAAGCTTTCTCAGAGATGTGGGTTTTTTGGCTTAAAACTGACTGCGTTTTGAGGAAGGTGCCAGTAGATGGCAGGCAGCAGTTTCAAGTGGTAATATCTTCGGGAACAAATAATTGGCCACTTCTTAAAAGTTTTTCTTATTCTTCATTTTTAACATTAAATTAGTTTAGTGATACGTGGGGTGAGGGAGGGTAAAGGAAAAAGCTACCGGTAGCTGTGGGATAAAGTCAGTATTTGAAGTGCAAAGATTAGTTGAAAAAGCCCAGAGTGCTGTGTACCAAACTGGTTTTAAACAAACCAATTGCCCCCAAATTCCCAACCAATAAATTCTATAGTGGTTCTTTCAATTAAACACCGAGTAATACAAATGGCACCTTTATTGTAAACTGTAGCTGGAGGGCTGGCAGCATGTGCTGGGTGGGAGTGTGTTAATACTGCCAGGACATGGGCAGCATTTGTTGCTGGCTTTTATACTTGGCTCATCCAGGTGACCAACCATAGATGAAATTAAAAGAGGTTTTTTTTCTCTATTTTCTAACTACTTCCAGCTACAGCTCTCAGCTTTTCAATAAAATAAATTTTATAGCCATCTTGGCTAACAAATACTTTCATAATAAGAAGATGAAGAGTTAATAGAATCCTTCAAGATCGAAATTCCAGCATGTGGGCTCTGGACTTCCACAGAGTTCCTCCTGTGGAGTCAAAGCCCAAGGCTGGAGCAATGGGCACCATTGACAAAAGGTCTTCCCTGGGGTGTTATTGAAGGGCCAGTCTAAGGCTGCAAGTCTTCTCGGTTACTTAGACCTTTCTTCTTTCCCCACACTTGTAACCTATTTCACTTTATGACCAAGGTAGGTGCACTGAAATGCTCTTCTGGGGTTCAATTGGTAAAACCGTCTTGGTTAAAACTCAGCATTGAC